GCCAGAATGAGTCCCTGTGGGTTTTAAAATTCGACTGCCTATTGAAGTCTATGGCGGTTCGCCCGGTTCGCCGGTTTGCGAACCGAAAATTATATGTTCGTGACATCACTAGTCTTGATTTAAAATGTACATAATATGTATATGATTTCAGCTTATTTTGAAAGTTTCAGGTCACAAAATACAAGGACTAAAATAAAATTTCAATGTGAAACCATTTTAGAAGTAGGTATGTTTGTCTTGTAGGTTTAGTAGCCATCACAGAAAACAAAATTGCCACACAAAAGTATATAGTTACATAAAGTAAACATCACAGGCTATTTACCTAAGGTTATTTTGACACTTTTTACAAAGCCATTTCACTTATAACAAGGTTTTTGTAATGTGTATTTCGTAAAGCTGGTGTGTGCTATTCCTGCACAGAACCCCATATTGTGTTCAGCTACATCTGCTGAGTATAATGATACCCCAGTTGTATGCCTTTGGCACTATTCTGTGAAGCTACAATGCCATATAAGAGACAATGCTATTTCAGTTTCTATAATTAGAATTTTCATACATGGATTAGACGAGCATATGTCTTATTTTGGGGTATTTATAACAGTGTGAGTATTCAAATAACCCCACAAAGGGCTTCAATTATTTAAAGCAGACACCCAGGGGTATCTTATATGGCACATATTGTGCCTTAACTTGTCACCATTTTTTCACCAATTTATGTCAATATTTGTGGTGAGGGGGAAAAATTGCATTTTTACATACATTTTGCATTTTTGCTGAATATTTATTACACTTCATATGTACCACTGTCATAAAATCCCTGAAATTATGCTCAGTTACATCTTTTGAGTAAAGCAATATGTAATGTATGACCCAGACACTATTTTGTAAAGTTACAGTGCTGTAAAAGAGACGTGACAAGTTCAGGTTTTTAAGTGAGAATTTTTATGGGTTTTGATGCGCTCGTGTCCCACTTTGGAGCACTTGAGCAGGCTACATACTCCAGCTACACCATAAAGATATGTCATTTCTCAAAGAAGATATCCCAGGGTATTTCAAAAGGCATATTTTGAACCTCAACATGGGATAATTTTTACACTAGCTTGTACCAAGTAGTGGCAATAAGCAATTATTTCTGCCTTTTTGACACACAAAGTGAGTTTGCACAGTATAATTTGCAAACCTTATGTTTAGGAGCGCCAGGGCTGGACTGGCATACCGGGAAATTTCCCGGTGGGCCGCGGCACCTGGGGGCTGCGCTGACACAAGGGTGCCACCGGGTGGCTGGTCCGGTGGCACACTGAGAGGGGGCCGGCCGCGTTCCAGACTGGAGCCGCCGGGCCGGGTGGCAGCTTCGCCGGTCCGGCGGCACTCCAGTCACTGGTGGCTGAAGGAGGAAGAGCCTGTCTACCATGCTCCCTTGCGGTTCAGCATGGTAGACAGGCTCCTCCTCCTTCAGCCACCAGTGACTGGAGTGCCGGCGAAGCTGCCACCCGTCCCGGCGGCTCCAGTCTGGAACGCGACATGCCCCCTTGCCTTCTCTAAGGTAAATTGGGGGGGAAGGTGTGAGGGGAATAGAGAGAGGTGGGAGGGAGGGAGAGAGGAGAGACAGGGAAAGGGGGGAGGGAGAAGGGAGAAACACAGGGAAAGGAGGGAGGGAGAGGGGAGAGACAGGGAAAGGG